ATCCCACTTCTGACAAATACTTTTTGTGAATAGACAAAAAGATACAGTACTTGTAAAAAAATCTCAAACAAAGTTCATTGTATTAGCGTAAATTACACACAGCAAATATGTTTACGATTAGACAATTGAAAAAGTTTGGAGCATGTCAGGATGGCCGAGCGGTCTAAGGCGCCAGACTCAAGGTTACCTTGCCCGTTAACAGCAGGCCGAGCGTTCTGGTCCTCTATGAGGGCGTGGGTTCGAATCCCACTTCTGACAAATACCTTTTGTGAATAGACAAAAAGATACAGTACTTGTAAAAAAATCTCAAACAAAATTCATTGTATTAGCGTAAATTACACACAGCAAAATGTTTCGATTAGACAATTGAAAAAAATGGAGCATGTCAGGATGGCCGAGCGGTCTAAGGCGCCAGACTCAAGGTTTCCTTGCCGGTTAACAACTGGCCGAGCGTTCTGGTCCTCTATGAGGGCGTGGGTTCGAATCCCACTTCTGACAAATACTTTTTGTGAATAGACAAAAAGACAGTACTTGTAAAAAAATTTCAAACAAAATTCATTGTATTAGCGTAAATTACACACAGCAAATATGTTTACGATTAGACAATTGAAAAAGTTTGGAGCATGTCAGGATGGCCGAGCGGTCTAAGGCGCCAGACTTAAGTTTCCTTGCCAGTTAACAGCTGGCTGAGCATTCTGGTCCTCTATGAGGGCGTGGGTTCGAATCCCACTTCTGAAAAATACTTTTTGTAAATAGACAAAAAGATACAGTACTTGTATAAAAATCTCAAACAAAATTCATTGTATTAGCGTAAATTACACACAGCAAATATGTTTCCGATTAGACAATTGAAAAGAATTGGAGCATGTCAGGATGGCCGAGCGGTCTAAGGCGCCAGACTCAAGGTTTCCTTGCCGGTCAACAATTGGCCGAGCGTTCTGGTCCTCTATGAGGGCGTGGGTTCGAATCCCACCTCTGACAAATACTTTTTGTGAATAGACAAAAAGATACAGTGCTTGTAAAAAAATCTCAAACAAAATTCATTGTATTAGCGTAAATTACACACAGCAAATATGTTTACCATTAGACAATTGAAAAAAATTGGAGCATGTCAGGTTGGCCGAGCCGTCTAAGGCGCCGGACTCAAGGTTTCTTTGCCAGTTAACAACTGGTCGAGCGTTCTGGTCCTCTATGAGGGCGTGGGTTCGAATCCCACTTCTGACAAATACTTTTTGTGAATAGACAAAAAGATACAGTACTTGTAAAAAATCTCAAACAATATTCATTGTATCAGCGTAGATTACATACAGCAAATATTTTTACGATTAGACAATTGCAAGAAATTGAAGCATGTCAGGATGGTCGAGCGGTCTAAGGCGCCAGACTCAAGGTTTCCTTGCCAGTTAAGAGCTGGCCGAGCGTTCTGGTCCTCTATGAGGGCGTGGGTTCGAATCCCACTTCTTACAAATGGTTTTTGTGAATAGACAAAAAGATACAGTATTTGTAAAAAAAATTCAAACAAAATTCAATGTATTAGCGTAAATTACACACAGCAAATATGTTTACGATTAGACAATTGAAAAAGTTTGGAGCATGTCAGGATGGCCGAGCGGTCTAAGGCGCCAGACTTAAGTTTCCTTGCCAGTTAACAGCTGGCTGAGCGTTCTGGTCCTCTATGAGGGCGTGGGTTCGAATCCCACTTCTGACAAATACTTTTTGTGAATAGACAAAAAGATACAGTACTTGTAAAAAAATCTCAAACAAAATTCATTCTATTAGCGTAAATTACACACAGCAAATAAGTTTACGATTAGACAATTGAAAAAGTTTGGAGCATTCTAACGGTGGGTTCGAATCCTACTTCTAACAAATACTTTTTGTGAATAGACAAAAAGACAGTACTTGTAAAAAAATCTCAAACAAAATTCATTGTATTAGCGTAAATTACACACAGCAAATATTATATGTTTACTATTAGACAATTGAAAAAGTTTGGAGCATGTCAGGATGGCCGAGCGGTCTAAGGCGCCAGACTTAAATTTCCTTGCCAGTTAACAGCTGGCTGAGCATTCTGGTCCTCTATGAGGGCGTGGGTTCGAATCCCACTTCTGACAGATACTTTTTGTGTATAGACAAAAAGATATAGTACTTGAAAAAAATCTTAAACAAAATTCATTGTGTTAGCGTAGATTACATACAGCAAATATGTTTACGATTAGACAATTGCAAGAATTTGAAACATCCCACTTCTGACAAATACTTTTTGTGAATAGACAAAAAGATACAGTACTTGTAAAAAAATCTCAAAGTTCATTGTATTAGCGTAAATTACACACAGCAAATATGTTTACGATAAGACAATTGCAAAACTTTGGTGTATGTCAGGATGGCCGAACGGTCTAAGGCGCCAGACTCAAGGTTTCCTTGCCCGTTAACAACAGGCCGAGCGTTCTGGTCCTCTATGAGGGCGTGGGTTCGAATCCCACTTCTGACAAATACCTTTTGTGAATAGACAAAAAGATACAGTACTTGTAAAAAAATCTCAAACAAAATTCATTGTATTAGCGTAAATTACACACAGCAAATATGTTTACGATTAGACAATTGAAAAAAATTGGAGCATGTCAGGATGGCCGAGCGGTCTAAGGCGCCAGACTCAAGGTTTCCTTGCCGGTTAACAACAGGCCGAGCGTTCTGGTCCTCTATGAGGGCGTGGGTTCGAATCCCACTTCTGACAAATACCTTTTGTGAATAGACAAAAAGATACAGTACTTGTAAAAAAATCTCAAACAAAATTCATTGTATTAGCGTAAATTACACACAGCAAATATGTTTACGATTAGACAATTGAAAAAAATTGGAGCATGTCAGGATGGCCGAGCGGTCTAAGGCGCCAGACTCAAGGTTTCCTTGCCGGTTAACAACTGGCCGAGCGTTCTGGTCCTCTATGAGGGCGTGGGTTCGAATCCCACTTCTGACAAATACTTTTTGTGAATAGACAAAAAGACAGTACTTGTAAAAAAATTTCAAACAAAATTCATTGTATTAGCGTAAATTACACACAGCAAATATGTTTACGATTAGACAATTGAAAAAATTGGAGCATGTCAGGATGGCCGAGCGGTCTAAGGCGCCAGACTAAGTTTCCTTGCCAGTTAACAGCTGGCTGAGCATCTGGTCCTCTATGAGGGCGTGGGTTCGAATCCCACTTCTGACAATACTTTTTGTGAATAGACAAAAAGATACAGTACTTGTAAAAAAATCTCAAACAAAATTCATGTATTAGCGTAAATTACACACAGCAAATATGTTTCGATTAGACAATTGAAAAAGCTTTGTTGTATGTCAGGATGGCCGAGCGGTCTAAGGCGCCAGACTTAAGGTTTCCTTGCCAGTTAACAGCTGGCCGAGCGTTCTGGTCCTCTATGAGGGCGTGGGTTCGAATCCCACTTCTGACAAATGCTTTTTGTGAATAGACAAAAAGATACAGTACTTGTAAAAAAATCTCAAACAAAGTTCATTGTATTAGCGTAAATTACACACAGCAAATATGTTTACGATTAGACAATTGAAAAAAATTGGAGCATGTCAGGATGGCCGAGCGGTCTAAGGCGCCAGACTCAAGGTTTCCTTGCCGGTTAACAATTGGCCGAGCGTTCTGGTCCTCTATGAGGGCGTGGGTTCGAATCCCACTTCTGACAAATACTTTTTGTGAATAGACAAAAAGATACAGTACTTGTAAAAAAATCTCAAACAAAGTTCATTGTATTAGCGTAAATTACACACAGCAAATATGTTTACGATTAGACAATTGAAAAAGTTTGGAGCATGTCAGGATGGCCGAGCGGTCTAAGGCGCCAGACTTAAGGTTTCCTTGCCAGTTAACAGCTGGCTGAGCATTCTGGTCCTCTATGAGGGCGTGGGTTCGAATCCCACTTCTGACAAATACTTTTTGTGTATAGACAAAAAGATACAGTACTTGAAAAAAATCTTAAACAAAATTCATTGTATTAGCGTAGATTACATACAGCAAATATGTTTACGATTAGACAATTGCAAGAATTTGAAACATCCCACTTCTGACAAATACTTTTTGTGAATAGACAAAAGATACAGTACTTGTAAAAAAATCTCAAACAAAGTTCACTGTATAGGCTAAATTACACACAGCAAAATATGTGGGTCTAAGGCGCCAGACTCAAGGTTTCCTTGCCGGTTAACAACTGGCCGAGCGTTCTGGTCCTCTATGAGGGCGTGGGTTCGAATCCCACTTCTTACAAATACTTTTTGTGAATAGACAAAAAAAACAGTACTTGTAAAAAAATCTCAAACAAAATTCATTGTATTAGCGTAAATTACACACAGCAAATATGTTTACGATTAGACAATTGAAAAAGTTTGGAGCATGTCAGGATGGCCGAGCGGTCTAAGGCGCCAGACTTAAGTTTCCTTGGGCGTGGGTTCGAATCCCACTTCTGACAAATACTTTTGTGAATAGACAAAAAGATACAGTACTTGTAAAAAAATCTCAAACAAAATTCATTGTATTAGCGTAAATTACACACAGCAAATATGTTTACGATTAGACAATTGAAAAAAGTTTGGAGCATGTCAGGATGGCCGAGCGGTCTAAGGCGCCAGACTTAAGGTTTCTGTATGAGGGCGTGCGTTCGAATCCCACTTCTGACAAATGCTTTTTGTAAATAGACAAAAAGATACAGTACTTGTAAAAAATTTCAAACAAAATTCATTGTATTAGCGTAAATTACACACAGCAAATATGTTTACGATTAGACAATTGAAAAAAATTGGAGCATGTCAGGATGGCCGAGCGGTCTAAGGCGCCAGACTTAAGGTTTCCTTGCCAGTTAACAGCTGGCCGAGCGTTCTGGTCCTCTATGAGGGCGTGGGTTCGAATCCCACTTCTGACAAATACTTTTTGTGAATAGACAAAAAGATACAGTACTTGTAAAAAAAACTCAAACAAAGTTCATTGTATTAGCGTAAATTACACACAGCAAATATGTTTACCGATTAGACAATTGCAAAACTTTGCTGTATGTCAGGATGGCCGAGCGGTCTAAGGCGCCAGACTAAGGTTTCCTTGCCAGTTAACAGCTGGCCGAGCGTTCTGGTCCTCTATGAGGGCGTGGGTTCGAATCCCACTTCTGACAAATGCTTTTTGTGAATAGACAAAAAGATACAGTACTTGTATAAAAATCTCAAACAAAGTTCATTGTATTAGCGTAAATTACACACAGCAAATATGTTTCCGATTAGACAATTGAAAAAAATTGGAGCATGTCAGGATGGCCGAGCGGTCTAATGCGCCAGACTCAAGGTTTCCTTGCCGGTTAACAATTGGCCGAGCGTTCTGGTCCTCTATGAGGGCGTGGGTTCGAATCCCACTTCTGACAAATACTTTTTGTGAATAGACAAAAAGATACAGTACTTGTAAAAAAATCTCAAACAAAGTTCATTGTATTAGCGTAAATTACACACAGCAAATATGTTTACGATTAGACAATTGAAAAAGTTTGGAGCATGTCAGGATGGCCGAGCGGTCTAAGGCGCCAGACTTAAGGTTTCCTTGCCAGTTAACAGCTGGCTGAGCATTCTGGTCCTCTATGAGGGCGTGGGTTCGAATCCCACTTCTGACAAATACTTTTTGTGTATAGACAAAAAGATACAGTACTTGAAAAAAATCTTAAACAAAATTCATTGTATAGCGTAGATTACATACAGCAAATATGTTTACGATTAGACAATTGCAAGAATTTGAAACATCCCACTTCTGACAAATACTTTTTGTGAATAGACAAAAAGATACAGTACTTGTAAAAAAATCTCAAACAAAGTTCACTGTATTAGCGTAAATTACACACAGCAAATATGTGGGTCTAAGGCGCCAGACTCAAGGTTTCCTTGCCGGTTAACAACTGGCCGAGCGTTCTGGTCCTCTATGAGGGCGTGGGTTCGAATCCCACTTCTTACAAATACTTTTTGTGAATAGACAAAAAAAACAGTACTTGTAAAAAAATTTCAAACAAAATTCATTGTATTAGCGTAAATTACACACAGCAAATATGTTTACGATTAGACAATTGAAAAAGTTTGGAGCATGTCAGGATGGCCGAGCGGTCTAAGGCGCCAGACTTAAGTTTCCTTGGGCGTGGGTTCGAATCCCACTTCTGACAAATACTTTTTGTAAATAGACAAAAAGATACAGTACTTGTAAAAAAATCTCAAACAAAATTCATTGTATTAGCGTAAATTACACACAGCAAATATGTTTACGATTAGACAATTGAAAAAGTTTGGAGCATGTCAGGATGGCCGAGCGGTCTAAGGCGCCAGACTTAAGGTTTCCTTGCCAGTTAACAGCTGGCTGAGCATTCTGGTCCTCTATGAGGACGTGGGTTCGAATCCCACTTTTGACATACATTTTGTGAATAGACAAAAAGATACAGTACTTGTAAAAAAATCTCAAACAAAGTTCATTGTATTAGCGTAAATTATACACAGCAAATATGTTTTCGATGAGTCAATTGCAAAGCTTTGCTGTATGTCAGGATGGCCGAGCGGTCTAGGGCGCCACACTTAAGGTTTCCTTGCCGGTTTACAGCTGGCCGAGCGTTCTGGTCCTCTATGAGGGCGTGGGTTCGAATCCAACTTCTGACAAATACTTTTTGTGAATAGACAAAAAGATACAGTGCTTGTAAAAAAATCTCAAACAAAATTCATTGTATTAGCGTAAATTACACACAGCAAATATTATATGTTTACTATTAGACAATTGAAAGAGTTTGGAGTATGTCAGGATGGCCGAGTTAAAGTTAACTTAAAGTTTCCTTGCCAGTTAACAGCTGGCCGAGCATTCTGGTCCTCTATGAGGGCGTGGGTTCGAATCCCACTTCTGAAAGATACTTTTTGTGAATAGACAAAAAGATAATGTACTTGTAAAAAAATCTCAAACAAAATTCATTGTATTAGCGTAGATTACACACAGCAAATATTTTTACGATTAGAAAATTGCAAAAATTTGAAGCATGTCAGGGTGGCCGAGCGGTCTAAGGCGCCAGACTCAAGGTTCCTTGCCAGTTAAGAGCTGACCGAGTGTTCTGGTCCTGTATGAGGGCGTGCGTTCGAATCCCACTTCTGACAAATGCTTTTTGTAAATAGACAAAAAGATACAGTACTTGTAAAAAATTTCAAACAAAATTCATTGTATTAGCGTAAATTACACACAGCAAATATGGTTACTATTAGACAATTGAAAAAAATTGGAGCATGTCAGTATGGCCGAGCGGTCTAAGGCGCCAGACTCAAGGTTTCCTTGCCAGTTAACAACTGGCCGAGCGTTCTGGTCCTCTATGAGGGCGTGGGTTCGAATCCCAATTCTGACAAATACTTTTTGTGAATAGACAAAAAGATACAATACTTGTAAAAAAACTCAAACAAAGTTCATTGTATTAGCGTAAATTACACACAGGAAATATATTTACAATTAGACAATTGCAAAACTTTGCTGTATGCCAGGATGGCCGAGCGGTCTAAGGCGCCAGACTTAAGGTTTCCTTGCCAATTGACAGCTGGGCGAGCATTCTGGTCCTCTATGAGGGCGTGGGTTCGAATCCCACTTCTGACAAATATTTTTTGTGAATAGACAAAAAGACACAGTACTTTTAAAAAAATCTCAAACAAAATTCATTGTATTAGCGTAGATTACACAGAGCAAATATGTTTACCATTAGACACAGCAAATATGTTTACGATTAGGCAATTTGAAAGAATTGGAGCATGTCAGGGTGGCCGAGCGGTCTAAGGCGCCAGACTCAAGGTTTCATTGCCAGTTAACAACTGGCAGAGCGTTCTGGTCCTCTATGTGGGCGTGAGTTTGAATTCCACTTCTGACAAATACTTTTTGTGAATAGACAAAAACATACAGTACTTGTAAAAAAATCTCAAACAAAGTTCATTGTATTAACGTAAATTACACACAGGAAATATATTTACAATTAGACAATTGCAAAACTATGTTGTATGTCAGGATGGCCGAGCGGTATAAGGCGCCAGACTTAAGGTTTCCTTGCCAGTTAACAGCTGGCCGAGCATTCTGGTCCTCTATTAGGGCGTGGGTTCGAATCCCACTTCTGACAAATTCTTGTTGTGAATAGACAAAAAGATAGAGTACTTGTAACAAAATCTCAAACAAAATTTATTGTATGAGCGTAAATTACACACAGCAAATATGTTTACTATTAGACAATTCAAAGGTTTGGAGCGTGTCAGGATGGCCGACCGGTCTAAGGCGCCAGACTCAAGGTTTAATTATCAGTTAACAACTGGCAGAGCGTTCTGGTCCTCTGTGTGGGCGAGAGTTTGAATTCCACTTCTGACAAATACTTTTTGTGAATAGACAAAAACATACAGTACTTGTAAAAAAATCTCAAAGTTCATTGTATTAACGTAAATTACACACAGGAAATATATTTACAATTAGACAATTGCAAAACTATGCTGTATGTCAGGGTGGCCGAGCGGTATAAGGCGCCAGACTCAAGGTTTCCTTGCCAGATAACAGCTGGCCGAGCATTATGGTCCTCTATGAGGGCGTGGGTTCGAATCCCACTTCTGACAAATACATTTTGTGAATAGACAAAAAGATACAGTACTTGTAAAAAAATCTCAAACAAAATTCATTGTATTAGCGTAGATTACATACAGCAAATATGTTTACGATTAGACTTCTGACAAATACTTTTTGTGAATAGACAAAAAGATACAGTACTTGTAAAAAAATCTCAAACAAAGTTCATTGTATTAGCGTAAATTACACACAGCAAATATGTTTACGATTAGACAATTGCAAAACTTTGCTGTATTTCAGGATGGCCGAGCGGTCTAAGGCGCCAGACTTAAGGCTTCTTTGCCAGTTAATAACTGGCAGAGCATTCTGGTTCTCTGTGAGGGCGTGGGTTCAAATCCCACTTCCGACAAATGCTTTTTGTGAATAGACAAAAAGATACAGTACTTGTAAAAAAATCTCAAACAAAGTTCATTGTATTATACACACAGCAAATAAGTTTACAATTAGACAATTGCAAAACTTTGCTGTATGTCAGGATGGCCGAGCGGTCTAAGGCGCCAGACTTAAGACTTCCTTGCCAGTTAATAACTGGCAGAGCATTCTGGTTCTCTGTGAGGGCGTGGGTTCGAGTCCCACTTCCGACAATTGCTTTTTGTGAATAGACCAAAAGATACAGTACTTGTAAAAAAATCTCAAACAAAGTTCATTGTATTAGCGTAAATTACACACAGCGAATATATTTACTATTGAACAATTGCAAAACTTTGCTGTATGTCAGGATGGCCGAGCGGTTTAAGGCGCCAGACTTAAGGTTTTTTTGCCAGATAACAGCTGGCCGAGCATTCTGGTCCTCTGTGAGGGCGTGGGTTTGAATCCCACTTCCGACAAATACTTTTTGTGAATAGACAAAAAGATACAGTACTTGTAAAAAAATCTCAAACAAAATTCTTGTATTACTGTAGATTACATACAGCAAATATTTTTACGATTAGACAATTGCAAGAATTTGAAGCATGTTAGGATGGCCGAGCGGTCTAAGGCGCCAGACTCAAGTTTTCCTTGCCAGTTAAGAGCTGGCCGAGCGTTCTGGTCCTCTATGAGAGCGTGGGTTCGAAACCCAGTTCTGGCAAATACTTTTTGTGAATAGACAAAAAGATACAGTACTTGTAAAAAAATCTCAAACAAAATTCATTGTATTAGCGTAGATTACACACAACAAATATGTTTACGATCAGACAATTGAAAAAAATTGGAGCATGTGGGATGGCCGAGCGGTCTAAGGCGCCAGACTTAAGGTTTTTGCCAGTTAACAACTGGCCGAGCATTCTGGTCCTCTGTGAGGGCGTGGGTTTGAATCCCACTTCCGACAAATGCTTTTTGTGAATAGACAAAAAGATACAGTACTTGTAAAAAAATCTCAAACAAAATTCATTGTATTACTGTAGATTACACACAGCAAATATGTTTACGATTAGACAATTGTCAGAATGGCCGAGCGGTCTAAGGCGCCAGACTCAAGGTTTTCTTGCCAGTTAACAACTGGCCGAGCGTTCTGGTCCTCTATGAGGGCGTGAGTTCGGGTACCACTTCTGACAAATACTTTTTGTGAATAGACAAAAAGATACAACACTTGTAAAAAAATCTCAAACAAAATTTATTGTATTAGCGTAAATTACAGCCAGCAAATATGTTTACGATTAGACAATTGCAAAACTTTGCTGTATGTCAGGATGGCCGAGCGGTCTAAGGCGCCAGACTTAAGGTTTCCTTGCCAGTTAATAACTGACAGAGCATTCTGGTCCTCTGTGAGGGTGTGGGTTCAAATCCCACTTCTGACAAATCCTTTTTGTGAATAGACAAAAAGATACAGTACTTGTAAAAAAATCTCAAACAAAATTCATTGTATTAGCGTAAATTACACACAGCAAATATGCTTCAAACTTAAGGTTTCTTTGCCAGATAACGTAAGTGGTCTAAGGCCGAGCGGTCTAAGGCGCCAGACTCAAGGTTTCCTTGCCAGTTAACAATTCAAACAAAGTTCATTGTATTAGCGTAAATTACAGACAGCAAATATGTTTACGATTAGACAATTGCAAAACTTTGCTGTATGTCAGAATGGCCGAGCGGTCTAAGGCGCCAGACTTAAGGTTTTCTTGTCAGTTAATAACTGGCAGAGCATTCTGGTTCTCTATGAGGGCGTGGGTTCGAATCCCACTTCTGACAAATCTTTTTTGTGAATAGACAAAAAGATACAGTTCTTGTAAAAAAATCTCAAACAAAATTCATTGTATTAGCGTAAATTACACACAGCAAATATATTTACGATTAGACAATTGAAAAAAATTGGAGCATGTCAGGATGGCCGAGCGGTCTAAGGCGCCAGACTCAAGGTTTCCTTACCAGTTAACAACTGGCCGAGCGATGTGGTCTTCTATGAGTACTTGTAAAAAAATTTCAAACAAAATTCATTGTATTAGCGTAGATTACATACAGCAAACATGTTTACGGTTAGACGAACGGTCTAAGGCGCCAGACTCAAGGTTTCTTTGCCAGTTAAGAGCTGGCCGAGCGTTCTGGTCCTCTATGAGGGCGTGGGTTCGAATCCCACTTCTAACAAATGCCTTTTGTGAATAGACAAAAAAATAATGCACTTATAAAAAAATCTCAAACCAAATTCATTGTATTAGCGTAAATTACACACAGCAAATATGTTTGCTGTTAGACAATTGTCGGGATGGCCGAGCGGTCTAAGGCACCAGACTCAACATCTGGCGTCTTCTATGAGAGCGTGGGTTCGAACCCCACTCGTGACAAATACTTTTTATGAATAGACAAAAAGATACAGTACTTGTAAAAAAATCTCAAACAAAATTCATTGTATTAGCATAGATTACATACAGCAAATTTGTTTACGATTAGAGAATTGCAATAGTTTGAAGCATGTCAGGCTGGCCGAGCGGTCTAAGGCGCCAGAATTAAGGTTTCCTTGCCAGTTAACAGCTGGCCGAGCTTTCTGGTTCTCTATGAGGGCGTGGGTTCGAATCCCACCTCTGACAAATACTTTTTGTGAATAGACAAAAAGATACAGTACTTGTAATAAAATCTCAAACAAAATTCATTGTATTAGCGTAAATTACACACAGCAAATATGTTTACGATTAGACAATTGAAAAAAATTGTAGCATGTCAGGATGGCCGAGCGGTCTAAGGCGCCAGATTCAAGGTTTTCTTGCCAGTTTTGTAATCAATCCTTGTACTGTTTTTTATATGACTATAGCTACATGTCTAAGACTTGTTTCAACATATAAATAATAAATAATCTGATAATAACCTTTTCACTCGGATACCTTCGCTCCATCGACAAAATACATGTTAATTTTTGAATTTGCGAGTGGAAAGGGTTAAGTTTAACAAATGTATAGGTATGTTAACATTACAAATATGCATTTTATAATACATCTAAATTATGGTTATATAATAAAGTAAAACAATGAATACTTACAATAATAGATAAATTCCTCGGGTATATTTATATTTAACATAGGAATTTTCATATTTCCCAAGTTTAAAGTTTCTCAAGCAGAGTATTATGAAAAAAGATAAAAGACGGAGACGAGCGGAAACTACTAGCTGAATTATTCGTTTTTCACATTTAAAACAATGAGATATAAAATTTTAATTCCTTTTGTGTTATTGAAAAAACTTCGAACTTTCAGCACAAAAGCTTTGGAGTTTGATAGAATTTAAATCAGGAAAGTACAGCAGTATAATTTGGCATTTTCTATAACATGTTATGTGGGAAATAATTTCAGTTGTTTAATCCTATAGTGTGTTAGAAGGAACACTCAATTTGTTCTGAACAGATCATCAATCTGATCAATTCATAATTTCACCTACATAGTTGTAGGTGTAAATTATGTAAAGTTATTTCTTATATTTATTGTGATATCAAGTAATTGATTCAAACTTTAAACCTAAACGTTTAAAGAAATAAATCATTAATAATTCTGACTATAGTTATAAAATAAAAAATAGATGATACTGAATATTATTTCAGTATGTTATGAAACTTCAGATATTTTAAGACGTCATTACTATATTTTGTTTTAAAATATTTACTATTGTATATAGCATCATAGCTTTGTTTGGAAGAAGAGAAGTATGCCACATTACTAGGAGTACAAAATTTAGTTGACGATTTGTTAACTATTGCTATATAATTTGTTAATTATTATTGAAATTGAAATTATACTGAATTATTAATGAAATTTAATAGATGGTGAGACATCCTATAGTCTGCTATTGTTACTAATTGCATATATATATATATATATATATATATATATATATATATATATATATATATATATATATATATATATGTGTGTGTGTTCTTTATACTTTCATACAAATATAAATATAATAGATGCTTAAAACGAAACCATGGTCTTGAAACGTAAATATTATATTTTAAAAGTGTTAGTGCAAAAATAATGTAATGCAAAGCTTCAATAAAATTGGCTATTAAGCATTAAAATATATTATATATAGCAAAAACATTTTTACAAAATAGTAGACAAAAATGCATTTTAATCGGATACTTTGCAATAGGCAATTTGTTTTTGAATTATCACAATTTCACACTTAATTCACATAATAATATATTAAAAATATTCAATTGATTCTATGCAGTTCTTTTTTTGCAACATTCTATATATAAAAATAATTCAGAATTTTTAATTAAGAGATGTTTACATATGAATATTTTTTGTTTTATTTATTGTTTTCAATGAAAAAAATGTGTAGATGTGTAGTATATAAATAATGATGTACATAGAGCATTTCATAATATGAAACATTGTGAACTGCTACAAGTCTAGTTTGCATTTCGAATCGCCAGTTTTAATTACCACCTTATTCCAAAGTATTGGCGCTTTATTTAAGTTGACTATTGAGTAATAAAATATTTTATGTAGTCGCCATCTCTGATTTACAATATATAAACCAACCCATTCTTTTCTAATCTAGTATATCTGTCTCTTTCCTTGCAAAAAATCACTTTGACGTACGCTTTTATTTGAGGTCAGATTTTGCGTGCGAATTTTGCCGTATTCACTTCACTTTCAGTGTTCAGTGAGTTCAATATTAATTTCTTGTGTTTACAGTTTGCTACGATGACGTTCGTTACGTAATTTTTTGTGTGGCAAAAACATTAACTTCACCATTGGGTTAATAAATTTGAAAAAAGGTAAAATATATGTAATTATATATATATATATATATATATATATATATATATATATGTGTGTGTGTAAAAGAAAATTTTAAATAAATAAATATCAAAAAAAAATTGGCCCTTTCACTAAAAACTAATCAGTGCGATTTCTAATTGATATTCTGCAAACAAACTCATATCTAGAATTCCATTAATTGAATTTAAATTATAGAAAACTGCTTTCATTTTTAACAATGTATTTTATTATATTGCTATTAATAAGTGTAAATGTCAAAGTTGATACAAAACACACAATAAAATATACACAATTTTTAACTTTCCGAAGGAAAATGTGTTTTCATCAAACAATCCGATTCGCTAATTTTATGTTTTCTCGACGTTTCCAGACACTCTGAATCGAATGAGACCAAATTTGGAAAAAGTATGTGTGTGTGTGTATGTGAACAGATTTTTTGTCGTAAATCGACGTTTTCTCAAAAATGGCGGGACCAATTTCAAAAATTTAAAAGCCATTCTAGATATCTTGATGAGGACTATCGTTCCTCAGTTTTGTGCGATGATCGGCCGAGCCGTTTCTTTATCAAAATTAGGAAAAAAGTGTTAAACTTTTCGTCCATGTTAAAGCTCATACTACCAAATCGATTTTAGAAAATCGAGAACTGTTCGAACGATATTAGTTGGGAATGATACTGACTAGTTTTAGGTGAAAATCTACCGAGATTTTTTTATATTTTAATTAACTGTTGAAAAAAAAAATTAAGCCGATTTTGATGGAACTCTTTTTGGCGATATATATAATGGTCTTATAGAACTTACTGAAATATTTTGGCCTTACGACAGGTAGTTCAATTTTAAAAATTCAAAGCTTGAGAAAATTAGTAGTTTTTTTGATGTTTGTTAAAATTAAAATTAGACGATTTACTTGGTATAACGAAAATACTTTCTAAAAGCAAATTGTTCGTTCATTTTCAATTATGTGTAATGAATCCACTCGGACTACTTTTAATCACTCATAAATTAATTTATTTTTTTATTGATTAAGTCGATTAGTTACACATATCGGGAAGTTCATGTAACTTGCCTCAAGGCATAATACTAATACCAATTAGTATCATAATTCGGTAAATTTTCGGTAAATTCGGTATAATAAGTGTAAATATCAAAGTTTATTGATACAAAACACACAATAAAATATACACGATATATTTTAAAAGCAAATTATACCAAAATTTAATAAATATTTATAAAATTTGATAATTTAATGATTATTGTATGACGATTGTTTAGAGCCTAATTTAAGTTTAAAACTGATTTTAAATTCTAATTTAAATTCAAACCATTTGTTTCGAGTTTAAATTAACTTTAAACTCGAATTTTCAATAGCGGTTTGAGTTTTAAAAAATAATTTTTTACAATTATCAGCTCATTGTAAGGTGTACCGATAGTAACGCGAAACTAATCAGTGCCAGTTTTTATCGAGTTCATTCAAATTGCTTTAAAATTTATGAAATCATTACAACCGGTTTGGAGAAAATGTCCACGAATGTCAAATTTTGGCCTACAATTACACATACCATTTTCAATTTTTTTATCGAACAATTCAGAATGGTTTCAAACGTCGATAGAAGATACATTTGGAATAAAAAGGGATTTTCTGGTAAAAACAAAGATTTTTTACGGTGATACTATAAATTCAAGACATTAAAACTAATATCTTGTAACTATTTTCACTCTTCTCAGTTGTAGTCTCGAGATAACATCAACGTAAATTTATTAACTGCAGTCTGTGCTCAATTTACCCCCTTAAGTGACCAACAGTAAATCTTGTTACTGTTAGATAAATACAACTATCTGGCTATAAGATAGCGATTTGCACTAAAACCACGAACAAATGAATGTCTTGCTTATACTCTTAAGTTTTTATAGTGATATTACATTAGTTTAATAATAGTTACTGATCAACAATAATGAAAAGATAAAAATATTTTACCATACGAATATAGTTTTATTTGTGTATTAGAACGACAAACAGAAAAACCTAATTTTCAACTTCCAGTATGGTGGTTATAGTATAGGGCCAATAATCGAAAATGAAAATTTATGCATTTCTCGACGTTTTAAAGGTTTCTGAACATTTTGGCATACCACAGAAAAAAATGGATGTGTGTGTGTTTTGTATGTCCGCATTTTTTCGTCCACGTTTTCGGGCGCACGGATCAACAGATTTGAATGGTTCAAAATACATTCGACTCCTATTGATAGCGAGATGTGCTGATTAGTTTTTGACAAAAGCAGGTCCATCCGTTACGGAGATACGTAGCAAAGAGTGCAGAAAATACAAATCGAGTTTTTGAGAGAACGGAGTATCCGATTTGAATGATCTAAAAAACATTCAATTTGTAATGACTGGGAGAAGAGGTGATTGGTTTTTAGCAAAGGCAGGTCTGGCCATTTTAAAGACGCAGACCTAAATGTGCAAAAAATGGCAGTTTTTGAGAGAACTAAGCGTCCGACTTGAATGATTCAGAGAACTTTCCGCTTGTTTTAACAAAATAAATGGTATTGAAAAAAAAATTG